GTAATATACATGCGTTTTACATTATTTGTAAAGTAAATACAATACCTAGTGTATAAAATAATTATATATCAAGTCTAAAAACATAAAAATAAATTCTAAGTATTTTGTGTAAATGAGTGTAAAGTGATGCATATAAAATATATTATTTGTACCTACCCACCTATCATATTATTTATTACAATATAAGCAATAGGGTATGGTTCAGCATAAATACTCTCATGTATTTAACGATAATTGGAGACAAATATACGATTTCTATGTTACATTGATGGAAAATCATAAAAAATATAGTGGTTTTATATTAAATCTGAAAATCATTCTTAACCAACGTGCTATAGGTTTGTGTATTTCGAGACAGGTATAGTGTGAAAATCAATGAAAATTTTAATGATAGTATAGGTGTTATATTATATAGCTGATGAATTTGGTTCTATGAATACAGTTTTTATGAAATTTAAAGAAAAATAATAACTTTTAGCAAAGGCATCTATGAATGTACCAATATTAAAATGAAGCTTGTATATATTTTCTGTGAAAATATGATATAATTATACAAATAAAATGTGTGTATTAATTATTTAGATTAAAGTCGAAACAGTAAAACTTATATTTATATATGTTTAGTAGACTGTTGAAATTATAAATTTTTGTGAGATTTTAAATAGGTATTTACTTTTTGTCTCATATTTTTATCAAGACCTGTATAGTACCCATATGTGTCGAGAAACAAATATGTTTATATTTACGATTAATATGCTGATATTTACGATCGAAATGATTATATTTATGACGAATAAAAAATATAATATTTATCATAATATGGTTACATCTAATATGATTTTTATTTGAAACCTGTTGATTTTTAATATGAATATGAAGTTTGTATATATTTTCATTGAAAATATGATATAATTATACAAAACTGTATACACTTCAATTAATATTTAATTAGAGTAAATTTGAATACAATAAAAGCTAGGTATATTATTTATTTTATATCAGCATTGCAGACTGTTGAAATTATACATTTTTGTATAGGTTTTTAATATTTAAGTATCGTCTTATTAATATAGTTTTATTAAGATCTGTATAGTGTCTATATGACGTATTGGAGTGTAAATATGTTTATATTTACGATCAGTATGTTGATATTTACGATCGAAATGGTGATATTTACAACGAATATAGAAATGTAATAGTATGAATATTCAATATAAATATATATATATATTCAATATGCTATATGCATATTAATATATTATACCTATATAAAATCAAGCTATGAGTAATTTATTATTTTATATCTACTATACAATATGGTAAGATATATCCTAACTTGTGATAGTAATATACATGCGTTTTACATTATTTGTAAAGTAAATACAATAGTGTATAAAATAATTATATATCAAGTCTAAAAACATAAAAATAAATTCCCAGTATTTTGTGTAAATGAGTGTTAAGTGATGCATATAAGATATAATATTTGTACCTACCCACCTATCATATGATTTATTATAATATAAGCGATAGGGTATGGTTCAGCATAAATACTCTCATGTATTTAACGATAATTGGAGATAAATATACGATTTCTATGTTACATTGATGGAAAATCAAAAAAAAAAAATATATTATAGTGATCTTATATTTAATCTAAAAATCAATGCTTTATTTTTGACCGACGTGTTATAGGTTTGTGTATTTCGATATAGGTATAATGATGAAAATCAGTGAAAATTTTAATGATAGTATGGGTGTTATGTTATATAGCTGATGAGTGTGACTCTATGAATACAGTTTTTATGATATTTAAACAAAAATAATAACTTCTAGTAAAGGTATCTACGAATGTACCTGTTTTTAAAGGGAAAATATATTAGTTATATATATATATATATATATATATATATATATATTTTTTTACAGTGAGATTATGATAATTACAATTGAACACATTTTTATTGAACTTATGAAAATATGTTAACATGTTTTAACATAATATAATGTATGAGTCATAAAACTAGATATAATATCATATTATAGTGTAGATTGAAGAGAAGGAAGTCGACTATTTAGAACTAAAATATTCTGTTACAGCGTGTATAGTTGCATTTAATATCTAACGCGATATGATTGATGGATTGATTTACAAACTATAGTTATATGTTTTTATTAAGAATTTCAATATTTTAGACATGATCTTGACATAGAAATTATATTTGTATAAGATTTTATCAAAATTATAATATTATCATAATTTGGGGGAAATTAGCATAGAAATTAGCATAGAAATTACAGAGTTTCCAGAAATATTATAATTATTAATAACTTCGTAATTAATTGAATTATTTAATTCATAGACATTAGAAAAGTGTTGCTTAAATAAGTTAACGATATCAATCCCGGTGCTTAGTAGATTTCTGCAAATTATAAAAGTTCCAAAATAATTTAGGGTTGATTTTAATTAAACTTTGAGTTTTATTAATAAATAAATTATAATCACGATATCTAGTAGTTTTACATTTGTTACGAATATTTGAAAAATTAGAATAAGATGTGGGTGTTTTTCAGACTTTGAAGATATTGTGTGCATATTTTTTTTTTTAATTAAAATTTTTAGTTCTTTACTAAACCAAACAGGGTAAGATAACTTATGTCTTCGGACTTTTGGAACAAAATTTGTCATTGCATAATTAATATGAGAGTAAAAAGTGTCTAAACTGTCATGAATATTAAATTTACAATTAAATAAATTGGACCAGTAAGTTAATAGACCCTATATATGATATAATAGATGTGTAATCTGCAACATTCCAATTAAAATTATAATCATATAGTCTAAATCAGAAACACATTTATTATAGGTATAGGATACAGTTAGTGGTGGATGAAACAAATCAACGGGTACAATAGGACAATTATTTTCAATAACATTAATAAATAGAGAGTTAGATAAGACATAATCAAGAATACTATTATTTACATTACTAATATGATTATATTGAAACAAGTTCAAATACGATAGTTTATCATTAAAGAATGAGTCGGCGTTACTACAAGCTGAAGGTAAATTGAAATCACCATATAATAAAACATCAGCTTTGGGGTTTTTATTAAGTATTTCCTCAACATGATCAAATTATATAAGAATATGTAAGGCTATATCGATGGCGCAGCGCACAAGTGTGATAAGTGACATTTTTTTGAAAAATGAGTTAAGTGCATAATCAATTTAATCATACAATTTATTCTGCACATTATGCCCAAACGTTGTAAGTGAATAGTTCATTATTTACTCCGATAGATGTCGTACAGTTCGTTACATTTTTGAATTTATTATTACATCTCAAACTTAAAAATTGTTCTCCTGAACAATTACGAAAATGTCACTTATCACACTTGTGCGCTACGCCATCGATATACTAGTATGTGTGTATGTAAATATGTGTATGCCTATATGTAGACGACTTATTGAGGTGTATATATGAATGTTTATATGCTTATATATATATTTATGTAATCCATATAATATGTTTAGGTGTTTGTAATGTCAAATATACATATCGGTTTATGATTTAATGGGGGTTTGCATATCATACTATGTTTCACATGTCCATGTAACTGTAGAAATAGGTGGTGGCTCGATTATAATATTTTTTACTTATTGTTATATATATATAATTCTCACTGCACTTGACGAATAATAGTACAATAATAAAAGTAAGAGATTTATTTTTTATCTTATGTCTAATGTAATCTCATACAATATTTCAATGTATATACGATTGATTAAAAATATAAGTAAGTATCTGTAATATTATTCATGATAGGTTGGCTTAATAGTATTGTGTATATATAAAGATACAAGAATGTATGTACGTTCCCACCTATATGTTCATTGTATCATGAGCCTGTATGGAAAATGACTAATAACATGAAGATTTATAAATGTTTTATTGATAAAGATTTAACTATAATACTTCAGATGTTACGTTAATTATTGTGTAGGTACCTTTTTCGAGATTTTTGTAATAAACCGCATAAAGTACCTATCTACTGAAATGAGAGATATTGTTAATAGTTCTTAATTTTCCTATATTATAACTTATACAATGATATATAGGGGAGGTGATATACCTGTGTGTATGTATCGGTCACTTGAGTGATAATAAGTTCCATGTGTTTTCACATAATATACAATTTGCTCGAGTCGAATGGGGTTTCGTTGGTGGTGACGGCGACTGGAAACGCTTGTGTTTTTCCCATGCACATGCATGAGTTATAATATTATGTATAATATGTCGGTAGTGATATGTAATATTTAATCTATTCTGTGGTTATATGGTGTAATATCTAATAATATATACTACATACAACTCTATACTAAAAAGTAAATATTTTGGAAATAATAATTCCTTAATATATAATATAAGGCGAGTTTAGGTAAATATAATATAGACTAGTGGATATGGTTAAAATGAAAAGTAAGGATGCATAAGCATATTTGTGTTTAATTCAAATTTAATAAAATAAATGTTGTATTATTTCTAACATGAAATGTACTGTATCAACGGTGAAGTCAAAATATGATAGTTTTATTTTTGCATTTAGTGATCAAACTATCTCGAAGACGACGTCTGAGACCCTCAGGCTGGGGCTATACACGGCGATATTCGCCGCGAAATTCGTCGAGCGGATTTGCTCGATATTTTCGCCGAGATTTTCCAAATATTTATACCATAATTTTGACATAATTTAGTTTCGAAGTTATTAATATAATTCTATAATAAAAATTCTACACCCATCTGGTGGGGTTAGCTAAAGACGTCAAGAATATTCACATAGCATGTGCGAGCACTTACGGTACATGTTCATTATTCAGTCATAGTTATATCTACTTCGATATAGAATTGGTACTTACCAGCTAAAATATACAAATATATATATATATATATTCAAAACAGTCATTATTACCATTTTTTATCAACACGAAAAACATGTCAAGTGAATTAACAACTGAGGAGCTTGTGGCTATTGCTGTAGCACTAGAAGAAGACGAGAACAAGATCCAGAAGAAAAGAAAATATTCTGTTCATCCATTAAATAAGCAAAGGAAGAGAAAAGGCCTGTTTCATTTAATATATGATGATTTGCGTGTATATCCTGAAAAGTTTTTTTCTTTTTATCGGATGTCTATGCCGACATTTGATGAATTGAGGAGTATCGTTAGATCTGACTTATTAAAAATGGAGAATTTAAAAAATGACACAATAACACCAGAGGAACGCTTGACAATTACTATAAAGTATGTATATTTTTATAATTATTGGATCATTAAATATATTGAAAAATCAAAATAACTTTTACGTCTTGTAATATTATAAAAAAAACATAATAGGTATACCATAGTATAGGTACCTATAATAGCAGGTATCTATAAAAATTATTATAATATATCATTTGTGCTTTGATTGGCCATAGAATATTCTTGATTTCTAACCGCGTTTTCGAGTGTTTGCTGCGTACAAGTGTAAGGCTGAAGAGGTATATTATATGGTTGAAATTGAGGCTGATGTGGTGTATAATGTTGAGGTGGTGGATAAGGCTGAGGTGATGTATAAAGTGGATGTGGTGAGTAAGGCTGAGAAGTTTGGTTAACGTTTGATGTATATTTTTGTAGGAGTTGCATGACATCTATTCGGAATTTAAAATTATTTCGCTGGTAACAAAGAAAGCAAAAAATGTTTATTTCCATCAAAAACTTCTTCTTTGTTAGTTCTATTTTCTATGGCGTTCCTGAAACACACATAGTTTTTTCTTCGACTGTTTAGGCACTGTATTGGGGACACTGGGGGACATTGCCTGGTCTGAAGCCGTCGGCGAATCGAGGTTATCTATAATATTGATTTCTTCAGCCGAATTATCATTTCCATGTGCCATGTTTCCTGAGGTACTGCAATTAAATACAATTTTCATTATTAGTAAGTGACAAGAAAAGAAAATCCTTTTTATGGTATATTCCGTATACAATTTGTTTTCAGTAAAATCTCAATTGTATACAAGCAATTTATGTTTATTCACTATAAAAATAAATAGGGAAGAGAAAAAGTAAATACTTTGTAATTTATTTAAATTTACCTATTTAAAATTTATATAGTCATCAATTTCAAAATGTTTGTTTTTTGAATAATTTATTTTTCGCTAAATAGTTATGAAACTTAAAAATCAGTTAATTTCAGTATATAATTTCGTACTCAAAGATAGCATATAGTTACCACTTACCAAATAAAAAATATTTATTCCGAAAGCAGATCCAATAAAATAAAATAAAAATATGATATTTAACTTCTAAAAAGTGGGTAACTACATGAGAAATCGAATGAATATCAAATTTTTTAAAAATATGAATTTCAAACGCTCATAAAAATTTGATTTGACTTTCTCATAGACATTTTTTTTTTCATAAAGGTAGACAAATGTATGATGAATCTTGTATGACATTTTCAAATCTTAGATTTAAAAATAAATTTTTTTAAGAATTTGTAACTCAAAATAATTTGGAAATTTTCGTGATTTTTACGTATTTTGTCATTTTTTGAACTTTAAATGCTTTAAAAAAAAACTTTGACTAACTATTTTTAATATTTTTCATCTGTCTTTGAAACAATATAGTAGGAACCTTGTATTAAATTTTAAAGTATTTTTACTCAACAAATAAATTTTTAATGATATTCATAAAAAAAAAAACTAATAAAATTGGAAACTGAAAATGTCCCTAAACAGTTCAAAATAAATCAAAATATTTTGAAAATGTTATCGTGTATAGAAAATACAAATATAAACAATCACTGAAAATGTCATGTATCTACGGTCATTTGTTTTAAAGTTACACCAAAAACCAAATTCAATTTTCTGAAAAATCGATTTTGCGTAAAAATTCCCGTTTTTCCTTAATTTTTCTTTTGTTTTTCTTGACGCTTTTGAAAAGTACTGAGAATTTTAAGTTTTGACCTCCCCAATGCACCAACGATATTCACTTTCCAATCAAACAAGATACTGAAGTCGAAAATCGAAGCATTATTTCGACTACTTATCGTGTACACAGACAAAAAAAATAAAAAACCACACATCATTGTAAAATCAATACATTCATCGTTTCACTCAGAATCTAAAACTAAGAAAATTGAAAACTGATAATGTCCGTAAACAGCTCAAAAAGAGTCAAAGCATTTTCAAATGTTTTTGGTGTTTAGAAAATGAAAATACAAACATTCAGTAAAATTTTCATGTATCTACAGTTATTTGTTTTTTAACAACATCAAAAGAACATGAGAAATCGAGTGAATATCCAATATTGTAAAAATATGAACTTCAAATGCTTATAAAAATTTAATTTGTTTTGCTTGTAAACAATTTTTTTTTTTTATAAAGGTAGACAAACTTTTGAATAACCTTGTATTGCATTTTAAAATCTTAGATTTAAAAAGAAAAATTTTTATGAGTTCTCAACTCAAAATAATTTACTAATTGTTGTGATTTTTTAGTATTTTGACAAGATTTGAACTTGAAATGCTTAAAAAAAAAAAATTGTGACCAAGGATTTTTAATATTTTTTAAATCTCATTGTAACAATATAGTAGAAGCATTGTATTAAATATTAAATTATATTAAAATTAAAAAAAGGTGGGTAAGTGGATGTCGCTCTGCTGTACAGTAGGTTACAAGTGGGTCACTGTATAATTGATGCTATTAAATTTGAATTCAATGATACAATATCATTGTATAAGAAAAACGATTCTGAGCGAAGACGGTATGTCAGTCTAGGTTAAGACAAATTATATACATATCTATGGTATTAAAAAAAATTGACCTATAATAAATTCCAAATTAATCATATCACATTATCACAATATCCATTAGGTACTAATAACACGTTATACACCAACAACAAACCCTGATACTATCATATATATAATAGTACACTTTAGAAGTTTCAAGTAGGTACCCACGAATAATATTATATAATCACAACAAAATAACTAGGTTTTTTAATATGTAATTTCGTCCAAATTTGAACATAAAATGACTATAAAAATAAACTGTGATTGTATATTTTTTAGATTTTTCGGTAAGAGAATTAACTACTTACGTTGAATCTTGTTTTAAATTTTCAATCCTTAGCTATAAAAACTGAACATTTTATAATTTATTAATTACGATGATTAATAATTTTCGAGATTTTGAAAAATTCTGTCAAAATTCGATGTTAAAATGCTTATAAAAAAAAATTGTGCCTATGTATTTTTAATATTTTTCAACTGATATTGTAACAATATATCAGGAGCCTTGTATTAAATTTTTACACTTTTTGGCCCAACAGATAAAACTTAATTAATATTTATAGAAAAAAAAAACTAAAAAAATTGAAAACTGAAAATGTCCGTAAACGGCTCAAAAAGAGTCAAAATATTTTCAAAATTGTATGGTGTATAGGAAATGCTAATATAAACATTCAGTGAAATTTTCTTGTATCTACAGTAATTCGTTTTTTAATTACAACAAAAAAAGGAAATTGCCACATGAGAAATCGAGTGAATATCCAATGTTGTAAAAATTTGAATTTCAAACGCTCATAAAAATTTAATTTGACTTTCCGGTAGAGATTTTTTTATTGATAAAGGTAGACAATCTTATGAGTAATCTTGTATTAGATTTTCAAATCTTAGATTTAAAAAGAAAAATTTTTACGAATTCTTAACTCAAAATAATTTGCTAATTTTCGTGATTTTTCCATATTTTGTCAATTTTTGAACTTTAAATGCTTATAAAAAAAAAATTGTGACTAAGGATTTTTAATATTTTTCATCTGCCCTTGAAACAATATATTAGGAGCCTTCTATTAAATTTTTAAGCTTTCGCAACCAACAAATAAAATTTTATTGATATTTCTAGAAAAAAAACTAAAAAAAAACTAAAAATGAAAATGTCCCTAAACTGTTCAAAATAAATCAAAATATTTTGAAAATGTTATCGTGTATAGAAGATGCAAATATAAACAACCAGTGAAAATTGCATGTACCTACGGTCATTTGTTTTAAAGTTACACCAAAAACCAAATTCAATTTTCTGAAAAATCGATTTTGCGTAAAAATTCCCGTTTTTCCTTAATTTTTCTTTTGTTTTTCCCGGCGCTCTTGAAAACTACTGGGAAATTTAAATTTTGACCTCCCCAATGCACCAACGATATTCACTTTCCAATCGAACAAGATACTGAAGTCGAAAATCGAAGCATTATTTCGACTACTTATCGTGTACACAGACACAAAAAAAATAAATAAAAAAATAAAAAATAAAATAAAAAAAAAATAAAAAAAAATAAAAAAATAAAAAAAAAATAAAAAAAAAAACACACATCATTGTAAAATCAATACATTCATCGTTTCACTCAGAATCTAAAAAAACATACATCATTGTAAAATCAATACATTCATCGTTCCACTCAGAATCTAAAAAAGACTGGGGAAGTCACACTACTATTTAGTAGGTGTCATATGACAATTTTCATTAATTAGGTAGGTATTTTGGTCACTGTAATGGATGTGTTAAATTTGAATTCAATGATAAAACATTGTTGTATTATAAAAACGGTTCATAGTGTCTGTCAATATGTAGTAGTCGTATACTCGTATTACAAATTAAATGTTATTATATTATACTTTCATATTTGCTATTTCTAATAGTTACATAATTACTATGTATTTAATTAAAAAAATCATGCTGAAAATAAAACTATTTTTACGTAAGTAGTTCATAAAACTATTAACTCTAAAATTAAATATCTATTATCTATTTTTGATTTTGCACTTTTGTAGCACTTAGTTATCTAATTAAATTAACAAATAAATTATCCTTGAATTGCATGCAAGACATTTGCTTGTATGGGATGAACAATACTGTTATTTGTTGTATGATACACATTTTGTAAATTTTTTATTTGCTTGGAGTAAGAACCCCGTAAAGTATTTATCGAAATATTTAACCGTATGCATTTTTTCTGTACAGGTCCCAGATGCTTGCCTATTAGTGTGATCAGGGCATATTAATACAAGACACAATTGTCAAGTAATAAGTAGGAGGAGGTTTTTTGGATTAATTGTTCTACTGCAAGTTAAGTCAGATTTATATCTCTTCTTAAAAACAATGGGCTCAGACGAGGCCACGAGGGTTCCGCTCACCCGAGCCTGCACCGGCTCCGCTGTTGGATTCAGTGATCAGGAAAATGTTGCATACAAAAATATGTACGATTTATAATACTATACGTTTACTTTGATTATTTGAAAATTTAGTAGTCAGTAAGTAC